TACAAAATTAAAAATAACAAAGACCTGATTTAACTCTAAAATTAAACTAATTAATTTTCAAAAATTAACTAAATACTGATTTTAAAAGAAAACTAAGGCCAATTTGAGAAAAAATGCAAAAAGAACCATTTATTGTTATTTTCTTCTATTTTTGTAATGTTAATTAACTAGTAGAACTAAAATAGGATCCTAAACGCAAACGTGCTATTTTTGTATTTTCATGAATTATATCAATTAAAATGCACACAAAATAGAAACAATCACAAGAATTATGTAATTAATCCTAAAAAATCAAACAAATAAAGAAAAATTCTAATTTTAAGAATTCTATAGGAGTAATTTTAGCGAGGCAAAACTCACGTGCTCACAGCTGTCCCTCTTTGCTCGGAGACACGAAGGGTTTTCGGGCAAAGATAAATGAGCAATCATGAGGGATTTTTGCCTACGTGGCACTCCATGAGAAGCATTTTGAAAAACGTCTGACCGAACCTTGCTTCAGAGGTTGCCTACATATCCTTGGCTATAAAGGAATCAGGTCAGTGTAGTTCTGGAAGTTTTGGTAGCTGGGACTACCAGGAGCTGTGATTTCACTACTGTTGCTGCTGCTACTGCTTGCTGACCTCCTTATTACACCAAAAGAAAAATCAAAGCTAAGCTAGCTATGCCTATCAACTATGAGTTACAAGATTCCTATCTATAAATTTCTTGAAGCTTGATCTTGAGTCTTAGATGATTTTGCTGTGGACTCCAATCTGAATCTTGATGCTTGCGAGTTGTAGGTGTTGTTTCTTTCTTCAGCATGGGATCAAAGCGGGACAGGCGGAGCTGGTGACATTCAGTCAGGTTTTGAGCAGTCCGCATCTTTGTCCGCTTCAGCATTTTGAATTCACTTATTTTTGTTCTTTTTATTCCTTTCTTTATTCTGGATGGAGACTCATTCTTTCAGCTACCTCGGATCCTATGCCTCGAGGTCAAACCCGCTCAGACACCAAAACAAACAAAGGAACGAAATTTTTCTGCCCCAGTTTTCACTAGGAAAATTTCGTGAGTTATTTGTGACACATATCTAAGCAATAAAATCAGGATTGTGTATCCTTGGGAATGAAGCCTTACACTAGGGGGGGGGGGGTTACCAGGTTATGCTGGAGAATGACCGGGTTATGCTAGAAAAGAAAAAGGTCCTCGGGTTATGCCGGGGAGGTCCACGGGTTATGCCGGGATAAAAGAAAAAGGTCCTTGGGTTATGCCAGGGAGGTCCACGGGTTATGACGGGATAAAAGAAAAAGGCTCCTTGGGTTATGCCATAGAGGTCCACGGGTTATGCCGGGATAAAAAGAAAAAGGTCCTTGGGTTATGCCAGGGAGGTCCACGGGTTATGCCGGGATAAAAAGAAAAAGGTCCTTGGGTTATGCCAGGGAGGTCCNTACTGCATTATTCTTTATTTTGAAATACCTATATCACCCTTAATTTGGACTCTGAATTACTAACCTAGAACCAGCCCCTTTAACTTGATCAAATAACCTTGGTTAATTAAAAATCCGACCTATTCAGCTATAACCAAACAGTTCTTCAATTAACAAAATTAAACTATCCTATTTTAATCTTGAATTAACTACTAAAAGTCAGAATTGAAACTACTGATATCTATTATCAATCAAACAAAAATTAAAAATCAAACACAAATTAAAACAGTAAAATCACAGAATTATGAGACCCCAATCAAACAATCAACAAAATTAAGCCACATGACTGTAATGTAAAATATTAGAACCCTAAACCAAGCACAAAAGTAAAAAAAAAAAAAAGAGATGATGAAGGTAAGCAGACTCAAAGAGAAGCATTCTGAGACGAGTATGAACAAAAGAAAACAAAATAAATAAAAAGAAAAGAGATAACGAGAAAATAAAGAAAAATACCTAAGATTGAACCCGGAATGTCTTGCATAGACAGATGAACTTCAAAATGAGTCAATTCCATGCCAATCTCTCATTCTTACATAGAATAGTCGATTAGCATGGGTTTTGACCCATTAACGGTCCAGGAAAAACTTTTGACCCGAAATCTGGCACTGACCCAATTTCGATTGGAGATTCGAAGAGCTCCAGGGGTGTTTGAAGGAGAATAAGTAGGGATTTGGACTGAGGGAGAGACGGGGGTTCAAGGGTATGAAATTGGTAACGGTTGGGTGGCGGCGCCGCCGTGTGCGGCGGAGGTGGCATTAGGGTTTTTAATATTCGAAGGTTTTGGTGAGGATTTGAAGGAAATGGGGCATGGATTTGGGATGAGGAGAGGAAGGCGGTCCAGTGGTGTAAATTTGGACGGGATTGGGTGATCGTCGCCGCCGTGGGGCGATTTCCGGCGGCGGTCTAAGGCGGAGCCGGTGGGAGTTGTCTCTGATGAGAGTGGGGTGAGAGAGAGACGGCTTGGGGGGGGGGGTAGGCTGTCCGGCACTTTTATATTAATGGGTGTGGAGTTCTCATCCGTTGGATCAACAATCCTAGACGGCTGAGATTTGTTTGAGCAGAAACGACGTCGTTTCATAGGGGAGGGGTCTGGACCGGACTGAGGCGGGATTTGGGCTTGGATTGGGGAACGGATTTAGGGGAGGGATTGGCTTGGGCTAGAGCATTTGGCCCAAAAACCGGTTTTTATATTAAGACTCCTAATTTTGAATTTTCTCTCATTTTCTTTTCATTTTCATTTTTATATTTTTGTTAAATACAAAATTAAAACTAATAGACCTGATTTAACTCCAAAACTAAATTAATTAATTTTCAAAATCAACTACATCCTAATTTTAAAAGAATACTAAGGAAAAAATCAAAATTAAAAGTAAAAATGCAAAAGGACTATTTTGTTATTTTCTTCCATTTTTTTATAATGCTAATTAACTAATAAAACTAAAAATATTTAAATGGGGTCCTAAATGCAAATGCACTATTTTTTTTTGTATTTTTATGAATTATACTAACTAAAGATACACACAAAATGCAAACAAACACAAAAGCACATGATTAAATCCTAAAAATCAAATAATAAAGAAAAATCCTAATTTTAAGAATTCTATAGGAGTAATTTAAGCGAGGCAAAAATCACGTGCTCACATCTCCTAATGCAGGAGATTATTTATCTCATCTACAAGAGACGTTTGACATTTTGAGAAAGTACAACGTGAAGCTCAATCCTGAAAAATGTGCTTTCGGAGTTGGTTCCAAAAAGTTCCTGGGGTTTTTGGTCTCTCAAAGAGGAATTGAAGTAAACCCCGATAAGATCAAAGTCATCGAGTATATCCCCGATCATTGACAAGTGTGAAGGAGGTGCAAAGGTTGACCGGAAGGTTGGCGACCCTAAGCGGGTTTATATCAAGATCCTCGCAAAAATATCATCATTTCTTTTCACTCTTGAAAAAGAAGAATGTTTTGTGTGGACTTCGGAATGCCAACAAGCATTGAAATATCTAAAAAGGTGCCTATCTAGTTTACATATAAAAGGAGAATCATAATAGTTCAGTTGGCCAATTATTTGAATGTTCACCTTATTGATAAGGGTATGGTTCCCATCTTGTAATCCCCTTTTTCTTTCCCCTATACTTATGTAAGTAAATTTAAAAAGTACATTAAAAATGAAAGTTTTAGAACCCGCTAAAAAATGTAGTATCTAAATTATTCAATAAACACTTTTGATCCTCGTGATATTTTGCTATTCCAATTTTAATCTTTATATTATTTTACTTAGTACATTTAAAAGGGTAATACGGTGTACGAAGTATACGTATTCACCACAGGGTTCGGGAAATAACCGTATCTTAAGGTAGTTTGATGTAGGCAGATTATTTTGATACAAGCATTAATGAACGATTCCACGACTCGAACATGTGACTTATAGGTCACATGAAAATAATTTTACAGTTGCTCGTTTAACCTTCAATTAAGTTAAATATGTGATTCTAGTCCTTGCAAATAATTAATGTTAATTTTTGTTTTGAATTACGAAAATGACCATGAGATTCCTTATTATTTGGTGTTTGTAAAGCAAAGAATTAAAAAACTCTAAAATTTAAAACTAAAACCGCAAAACAAATAGATCTGACGGATTAAGTTTTAATTGATGCTCAACGGAAAGCAAAGTGCACCGACCTTGAACCATTTCTACTACTCCATAGATTTGGCCGTTCTTGTTTAAATTTTATATTTACTTCTTTAACAATTTCAAAGTTCAAACTCACAAAAGGGGACCAAAGTTGTATACGGATAACATCGGAGCTAATGACCACCCTGCTTTTTCAGTAGTCAAACGAAGCTAGGGCGTAACTACATGGAGTCGGAATCGAAGCTGGGAACTTCTCGTACTAAGGCCCGAACGGAGTGCTTGCCACCGGACCCAACAAAACAATACCCCCTGAATACAGTACGAGCTTCAAGACCTCGAAAAGCACCACACAGGGTTGCACACGACTAACAAAGGGTTGTGATATTCGCGCCCAACCGGATATCACGGCGCATATCTCGTCCGATGTCGATAGCATATCCGTAATTGATGTACAAAAGAGGTTTTTTTTACCTTTTTTATAATTGTACTAAGGGTAAAACTCCCCTACTATATAAAAGGGAAGTTTCTTATTCAATAGACTGTAACACGCATACCAAGGGAATACAAACTTGTTTCTCTGTTTTCTAGTTATTGAAAGGTTCTTATTTTAATCATAGCTCTTCACACACGTTTGGCTCCGAATCGAGGACAGAACTGTTGCCAAGCTTAAATCCGAGCTCGGACTCAATGTCACTACTGGTTTAGTTATTTGTCTCATTTTTAATCCATTTACCTAACATATTTTTAAAACCATATATAAATTTAATTATTATTCATTTTAAGAGTAAACAGAAATAATGGGCATTTCCGTAATGGCAAAATAAAAGGTTATGGTCAATTAGCTCTGGGTATTAAAATCACACATTACTTTTAACTGAAAGTTAGATGTGCTCATTTGAATAATACGAGGATTAAAGCTGGTATAATGCAATATAGAACCAAAATTGCTAGTTGCCCTTAATTTTTCTTTTCATAGTCGTGTGTAAACATATCTAAAACTCAAAATCAGGAATACCTATAACATTATTCAGTGAAAAAAGTTCATTAGAGAATATGGGTTGCAACAATTTCCCTCTTATTTATTTATTTATTTATTTATTCTAAACTTATATTTGAGCAAATTCCGGTGAAAATGGCGATCACCAAAAAAAGGCCTTATTCAATCTTCAATAGTAGGATCAACGGTCGCCACCACTCCCACTCCATAGCCTTGACCAGCTCCACCACCAAAACCATTTCCGCCGTCTTCACCGCCGCCGCCGCCTCCTCCGCCACCGCCACCGCCACCTCCATTGCTACCTGATCCACTACCCCAGCCAATTCCAAACCCCCGACCAGATCCACCATTCACACCTCCTCCTCCTCCGCCACCGCCGCCGGCACTGCCTGGTCCACTAAAAAAGCCACCTCCACCTCCAATTCCCCAACCGTTTCCACCATCTGAACCTCCTCCTCCCCCGCCGCCGCCTCCTCCGCCGCCTCCGGCAACATTTCCGATAATTTGGTCAATTCCGCCAAAGCCGAGGATGTTTCCGGATGGAAATTGTAGAAGCTTCCTCGCAAATGTTGTTTGCACAAAAACACAGACAATGCATAAAAGAACCAACCTGCTACTCTTTGCACTTGCCACTGCACCATAAATAACACAGGTTAGTTATTACTATTCAAAATGTGGGAAGGAAGTGCAAGATTTTTTTTTTTTAAATAAAGAAAATCAGTTTTCCTATGGCAAAATCACAATTTCATCTTATTGCAGTTAGTGATGATGCGCAATAAGGGAGTCAGCTATACAAATCATATTTTTTCCTTTAAACTTAACTCATGTAATCAAAATTAAAATAAAACGTTTAAACACTATTTGATGCAGGGGCGGGCGAAGGTACATAGTCCTCCTCAAAAATTATATTGTATGTATAGGTAAAATATTAGATTTTAATATTATATAACATATATTGAACACCCTTTATTCGAAATTTTTTTTACTTATTTCAAGTTTGAACACTCTAAATGAAATTCCTGGCTTCACCACTGATTTAGTAATGTGCACATTCCCTTATATCGTAGAAAAAATTAACTGTATAAACACTATAATTACTACAGAAAGTAGAAAGATTAAATGTAATTATGTTGCATTTTTAGCAGTAATATAAGCAACATTAACAATAAAGAAGAAAATGGCTTCTTACTTTGGCTTCTCTCGTATGTGTGTTTTGCACTGAATTAACCCCAGAGAAGAGCTAAGCAATTGGATGAATAATTTGAGATGTTTAGGACGAGCTTAAATACTATAGAGTAGTGGTAACGTAACAGTATATGGTTAGGGATTGTTAATAAAAGTAATTAATATCACATTTACAAAATAGAAACGCCAGAAGCATAGAACTGAATGTGATTAAGAAGACTTACGTAATGGTAATTAATTGTGAAAGGAAAAACGTACATGTTCTATTAGACATTCTTATGTTTTAGCTTTAAATAGATTAAGTATGAATAATAGTTCAAATATTTCTTAATCTATTTTGTGTTACAAATATTAGAATAATATATGACGAATTAGAACCATCTCTATCAAGATGACTGACACATTCTGTGTATTAGTGGTGTAACAGTATATGGTTTGATATTGGAAAAAAATTCGGTCATAATTGGTTTGGTTTGGTTTTGTTTTAACTAAAAAAAGTTAAACCGAAATAAAACCAGCCCGATAGCATATTTATATAATTTTTAAAATATTTTATACATATAAATATTTATTGTAATATAATTTATAAATATTTTGTTATTAAAGTTTTTCACAATTTTATCTTTTAACGTATTATTTCAAGTTTAGACTTAATATTCTTGAATGATAAAAAGTTTTGTAGTCTATAAATGTAGTAACTCAAACAAAGTTCAAATCAATACTTAACAAAAGAAATTCAATTCAACACTAGGAATGATGATAGTGTTGGATATCTATTTTTAGTTTATATTGGTTTATAATGAAAATGCATAAATTAGTTTATCTTTTTTTAGTGCTTAATTATGCAATTAATAATATTATTAGCTATACTTATTTTAGCATGACCTATATAGTAATTTTAGATTATGTTGATTTTCATTATGGCTTATTAATTAACAATATTTTCTATTTGCAATTTTATTATCTTTGTTATTAAATATTTTAGTATAATCTATGGCTTATCTCATATTATTGTATAGTTGTATCACTAAAGAAATATTTGGAGCACAAGTTACATATTTTGTGCTATGAAGATTTTACCAGGAAAAAAACCCGAAGAAAATCGAAAAATCCGAGATTGAAAAACCCGACTTTGTTGGTTTGGTTTGGTTTATAGATTTAAAAGTCCGACACCATTAGTTTGGTATGATAATTGAAAAATTCGAACCAACCCGACCTATTACACCCCTACTATGTACTATCAATAGAATAAATGATATCAAGTCACATACTCATACTCAGGAAATACATAAATAAAGAAATTCCACGATTGAACTACTAAAAGAAAATAGAATGCACTAAAAGTTGGAGCTCTAAATGATTTATTTTAGACTCAAAAGCAAGTACTTTGCGGTTTTTATAGATCTAATTCATTAAAATTCCATCCAATAAAACGGAAGAATTATAAATCTTCAAAATAATAGATGGAAATTCCCCTCACTTTAATAACTGAAAATTTTCATTCCCCACTCCTTTTTTGTTTTGAAATTGGAGAGTTTAATTTAACGGAGTAAAGGACCAGCTTATTTGATGAGCTTCTTAACTTGTTTACAGTTTTGAATTTGATCTTGTAAGTCCAAATTGTTAATCTGTCTCCTTTCAAGATTTAATTTATTATTTTGATTAATTTAAGAAAAATGCAAAGAGAGGTTTTGGAACCCACTAAATATTATTAGTAGTATCTGAATACCAAATGGTTGATTTTATTATCACTTCCTTTTTCCAATTTAATTTTGAATATAATTGTGTGTAAACGTGACATTCTAGAATTAAAGTGAATGAAATAACAATATTTAGAATTTCGGTGTTTTCTTGAATGGTACTCCCCCAGTCCACAATAAGTGATCAATTTACTTTTTTATTTTGGTCCAAAATAAGTGTTCATTTATTTAATCAAGAAAAAATTTAATTTATTTTTCCAAAATTATACTTATGTACGTATCCCTAAAAAGTCTTTTACTCTTCACATTAAATTATGCTGCTAATTAAGGGTAGTTTAGTCACACTAATTATTTTTGTCTAAAATTTAGTATTTCAGGTGTGTTCAAGGTAAATTGATCACCTTTTGTGGACCGCAGGGAGTACCAGACAAGATTTTGGAAATATGCAAGTGTATTTAATACTTGAAATCAAGAAAGAATTATGTGTAGCCCTAGTGCATAACGTATTGTCCTAATTTTATCATGTTTTTCAAGCTTTGTTCTTGAATTGTGTTGCCATCTGAAATATCTTTCTTTATTTTCTCTTGGAGAACACTCGCCTCGTTGACGCAAGATCTTTCTTATTACAGCACAACCTGTTTGACCAAAAAGTTTTGATCCTTTTTGTTAAACCAATTAAATAAGAAGATATGGGGTACATCCTAGCCAGAGATAATTTATTCTAGATTTGAGATAGAAGACATGAATAAACAAGCATAGCTGAATGTAAAATTTGATTACAATGGCGATTGGATTTCATAATATCTAGATCTGAGATAGAAGACAAGAATAAACAAGCATAGCTGATCGTAAAATTTGATTACAATGCGATTGGATTTCATAATGTAAGAAAAGGAAGATGGCTTAAATAATATCAAATGATAACGAAGAATACATAAAGGAAAGGAATCTCCATTCTTGAACAAGGCAGACCTCCGTACATTTGATAAAGTTGAACTACAGACGGATGCCAGGATCATGAGATTTATCTCTCTTTTGGCAAAGAGCCTGAGAGGATGGAACATCTTCTCCTTCAGAGAGATGTGTGTGTTTGTATGTGTTCCTCTCAGCCCCCCTTCTGTTACTCTCTCTTGTGATATTTATACAAAACACTTTCCTTACCCAGCGGTCCTTAACCTTAACCGGAGTGCCTAAGTTCTTGGAATATCCTGTAGAATATTCCTCTAGAATGTATAAGTGTTGAACTAGCCGTTCAGGCCGAACTGAGTGCTCGACCTCGACCATAGCTGAATTAGTCACCGGTATATTGCTTCCTGTACGTGACTTCGGCTTGGTTGGCTCCCGGTCGTTATTCCTTAAGTAGAATTCTTTTGATCAGATTTTGACCTATACAGTTAGTCCCTCCGCCTGTCGGGGTTGTCTTTGGACGAGCTCGATGGGCGGACCCCGCCAGTTTGCGAGTTGAGAAATCTGAACATCTTGGTCGAGGGGCGAACCCTTCATAGCGAGATGACGGTGTGATCCTTCGAGAGACATACCTGACCGTTACGTCAGTTTGAAATGACGTCAATTTATCATGCGTCATTATGGCGCACGTTTCCTATACGTTACGTTGTTTCCTGCGCCTCTTCTGTTTTGGAGTTAATGTGGCGGCGTTTGGTTTTCCCTCTCAGGGTGTTTGTATTCTTATAAATAGAGAAGAGAACTTCTCATTTGGGTTGCTGTGTTTCTTATAAATTGTTCGAAAGACTCCAGGCTTTTCTTTTCTCCCTCTTCAGATCCTTACGTTTCCATCTCTCTTTTTTTGAAGTTTCTTGCCATTGTTACCCCTTTCTCCTCAGCACTCCTCATCTACGCAACCAACAAGGAGATGGCTAGTGCATCGTCTAACTTTGATAGAGCCGCCGGCGCTGCTGCGTTGAAAACTGATATACCCTTTCACAAAGAGGGGGTAGTCATGGCGGAAGATGACAGTCTCCCCACTGTGGATAAGATAATTCCACGTTCGGGGAAAACCAGGACTGATTTCAAGAATTTTTCCGACGATGAGCCTGAACCCGTTGTTTCTAAAATGGATGTTGTGGCGCTCGCTGCACTCAAGGCTAAATGGAGGATTCCTAACTACGTCGAATTCATACCTGCGGGCAACGATGTCGTGCAAATACATCGCCCGAGGTATTGAGCGTTTTACGCACACCCGTTCCTCATTGGTTACACACTTCCCCTTCCTTTCCTGGAGGAAGACTTTTGTCGCCGTTACGGGGTGTTCCTGGCTCAGCTCTCTCCGTATATATACAAGCTCTTTCTCATGCTTACCAAGTACGCGGAACTGGTCGGCCGGGGGATTTCTCTCTGTCACTTGCTTCACCTCTTCGTACCCAGTCTTTACAGGGGTACTATGATATATCTTCGTCACCGCGGGACCAAGGGCTTGGTGGTTAAGATGGATGATAAGACCAATCGTCGCTTTTGGGAGAACTTCTTCTTTGTGGGGACGGAGCACGTGGTGTCGAATCCTAACGGGTTTCCTAAGGAGTGGAATTATGCCCGTAAGCTTTTATTTTTTTCAAACGGCTGCTCGTTGTCCCCTTCTGGTGATCTGATTGTACTTTTTTTTCTTTTTTCTTTATTTTGCAGCCGAGAAGGAACCTCCTCCACTAGTCGCTGATATTCGCAAGTGGGTAAGCCAGGTTTTGCCCCATACGATGGGGATTCGTGAATGCTCGTCGTTCCACGAGAGATTCGGGCGTAGACCCTCTGCTGGTGAGTCATCTCATCTCGCCCTTGGTCACTTTTCCCTTTGTTCTATATTTTCCTCCCCCCTATTTCCTCTTTGGTTTAAGCTTCTCTTGTTGGTAGGTCGGAGGGTCACGAGGAGGGCGAGGGCTCCCATACCTGCTTTTCGCCAGTCGAGTCTCTCGATCGGACCTGCACCGATTGCGGCTGCAAGTAAGAGCGTTCAGGCCGTTGCTACTTTACAGTCATGACCCCTCCCGGACCAGGCCGTCGGGAGGTTGCTCGTCAGGTGGGAGCTCTGATTCCCGTAGTTCATTTGGTGGACGAATCGTCTTAGGACGATGGCGAAGAAGCTCCATTAAAGAGGTGGAGAATAAGGGCTGATGGGGTACCCGGGGTTGAGGGGCCTTCGAGGGGCGATCCCGTGTTGGCAGTGTCTGAGCCTGATGGTGATGCTAATTTAGACGAGGAGACCTTATCCCCCTTGGGCGTGGAGGTGGTGCCTGTTTCTGGCGTGGGGGAGTCTACCATGGTAGGGGGCAGAGCTCGGAGGCCGCTGCGATCATTTCGAGTGGTCCATCGACTTCACAATAAGCCCGCGCTCCCTCTTCGGCCAGCGAGAGGGAAATGGGCGTGGTTATAGATGACTATGAATCCGGTTCAGATATTGACCCCGAGAACATAAGCATGTTTGAGGCGAGGTTCACTCCGGTTGAGGCGGGAACGGACAATTCCTCTCGCGTGATCGAGATTTCTCCGGATTGCGATTTGTTGGAGGACACGGTGAGCCTGGTGCCCCGATTTGCCCTTCTTTGTTCCGCTACTGAAAGGAGGGCCCTTTAGGAGATTAGCGATGCTGGCCTATCACAGGGCGTAGCCGGAATGGCTTAGAGGGTGAGTTCTTTATTGCTTTCTTCGTTTTACGTCTTCCACTCTTGCTGACTTTCTCTTTCTGTTCTCTCTTCTTTCTTCAGACTTCCATTTTGGAGACTGAGAGTATTCGCCGCGAGGAGAGGCGGGCTGCTGCTTTTCAGAAAATGGTTTCAAAGTACCACCGATACCGTGGCAAGTGCCGCGAGATGCATGCACGTCTGGTAGCTCTGCGGGCAGAGCTGAGTAGAGTGCCACTAGAGTCGCCGGTCTAAATGTTGAATTGGCGGGGAAGGTGGTAGAGTTGGAAAGGAAGGCGACTGAGCTGGAGAGGGCTGAGGGAGCCCGAGTAGCAGCCTCGGCGAGGGCTGCGACACTAGAAGATTCTATCCGCGTTCTCAGGTCTGAACGAGCAACTAAGATGGAAACGACTGCTCTGGGGGAGGCGCGGCTTGATGAGCGAATTGGTGGGCTTGAGAGAGACGTCTCGAGCCTGGGTGATCAAATTGCTGCTCTCGAGGCTGAGAGGGCGCAATTGTTGGCTTCGACTCTTCCTGCGTCCGCCTCTGTTGACGTCTCTCGCCCTTTGTACGAGATGTGGATCCACGCTGAGGCTCAGCGGGATACATATAAGGGCTTGTTGGCAGCAAGGAATGTTCCTGAAGCCGTTTCTAAAGAAGTTTGTGTTAAAGCGCGTGAGGCCCGGCTTGTCTGCGGCTATGACCCCGCGACACTGGAGGCTGGTGAAGACGATGAGGCCAAGGACGGGCTTACCTTTAATGATGAACATTTTGATGGAGAGGGTGACGGTGGAGGTGAAGCCGCTGAACCAAGTGGGGAGAGAGATGACGGCGTGGATAGGGATAATGCCGAGTGAAGCTTTTGTACTTAATTTTTCCTCCTGTATTTAGTTTTTCTGTACTTAGTTAGTTGGGTATGGGCCCCCTTTTGGCCCTTTGTAAGACGCTATTTTTCCTTTGAATGGAACAATTGATTTGTCCTTGATTGTATGTCTTTGGCCTTTCCTTCTCTTTTCTTTTCCAATTTCTTGGATCTTCTCGCAATAAGTCCCTGACTTTTGGTGGTTAATCCGAACGAGGTCGAATTTGACTTGCTAATTCGAGCGAGGTCGACTTTGTCTTGCTAATTCGAGCAAGGTTGAATTTGACTTGCTAATTGGAGCAAGGTTGAAGTTGACTTGCTAATTCGAGCGAGTTCGAATTTGACTTGCTAATTCGAGCAAGGTCGAATTTGACTTGCTAATTCGAGCGAGGTCGAATTTGTCTTGCTAATTCGAGCGAGGTCGAATATGACTTGCTAATTCGGGCGAGGTCGAATTTGTTTTGTTAATTCGAGCGAGGCCGAATTTATTTTTTTAATTCGAGCGAGGTCAAATTTAACTTGCTAATTCGAGCGAGGTTGAATTTGTCTTGCTAATTCGAGCGAGGTCGATTTTGACTTTCTAATTCGAGCGAGGTCGAATTTGTTTTGTTAATTCGAGCGAGGTCGAATTTGACTTGTTAATTCGAGCGAGGTCGAATTTGACTAGCTAATTCGAGCGAGGTAGAATTTGGCTTACTTATTCGAGCGAGGTCGAATATACATTTCCTGTGTTGGCGTGATGTGTAAACTTGGCGGAGTTACGTAAGAATTCCGTATGCTGCTTTGCTTACTCATTCATTGGAGAATACTACATGTTGTTGTACGGTCCGTACATTCATTCGAGGAGTCACAGTCTATCTAGTCCCTTCATCACTTGGCCTGGAGAGGTAGTTGATAGGCCCGGCGATGAATGTTTCGCTCAAGCTTCGGGACGTCTTAGTGTATGTACGAGATCGAATTTTAGCTAGTTGTGTCGTCGCATAGTTGCTTTGGCGAGTGCATGGGTGAGTTTCACGCACTTGTGTTCTGTCTGCATGTTGGAGAGATTCGTGCGTTTTTCGGGCTGGTGACCCAGTCCCAGTCTATACAGACTTTTCCTTTATGGCGTTAAGTACCAACTTATTTGGGGGGAGGGGGTGTTTGCTCGGCCGTTGCCTGCAGGATGATATAGCGCGGACGTTTTCTTGGTGTGCTATTTTGATGGCGTTTGTTCCCTGTTCGCGTGTCTATGAGGATGCCCCCCGTTCCTGTCCCACTCTGAAAAGAAATAGCAAGTTAAAGCCAAACGAAATCGTTTGTTACCTCGACTGATTGGTTGACGAGTGGAAGGGAGCAACCATTTTCCCTTCTTTGGCTATGCTTCGTAGCTGCTATCATTGGTTGAGCTGATATCCATCGAACTCGGAAGACATCTTGTGGGTCTTTGGCACGGTGTTTTTGCCGCCTCCGCTACTTGGATCTGGAAAGTCCCTTCGATCTGATGGCAATGAACTGAGAGTGCTAGCTTCAGATTCGATCTCAGCCTCGTACTTAGCTTCGGCGTTAGTTGAATCTGGGCACCTTGTGGGCTGATAACTTACTTTGCCCGTTGGGATCTTCGAGTTCAAGTCCCAATCCGATCCAGTCCCGAGTGCATGAAGATACGGAAACATAAGCCATACCACAAGCATACAGGCGGGAACGAGTTTTGTCATTTCAAGGAATTACACAACAGGTTATCATTCCTTTCTGAGAGGGAGAGGGTTGTATGCATAAGGTACAGGTTGGTATCTAGCGCTAACATGGTGACAGGATTGTGGACATGCTAAATACGTGACGGCCGCAGTCCTAGTCCGACAGCTTGCATTCGCAACGTGCCGAAACTATACGACGTCGAAGCGTAGTTGTCGTATAGATATCAGATACAATTTCGATTTCATGCAAGGGTCTAGATTAAAAATTGGTTTAGCTGTTTCAAGATCTTGCCTACGAATTCCTCAAATTTGTGTTCGTAGCAAAGGGATGAAGTTACAACGAACAGGAAGTGGAACTAGAACCTAGTTTAGATCTAGAGGAAACTAAAACTTTGGCTAGGAAATCCCCACAGACGGCGCCAAATTGTTTGACCAAAAAGTTTTAGGCTCTTTTTGTTAAGCCAATTTAATAAGTAGATAAAGGGTGAATCCTAGTTAAATATAATAAATCCTAGATCTGAAGTTCGATAATTTTGATGGTACAGGACCGTGTTCAAGTCAATGAATACCAAGTTAATGCTCAATGATTATCAATAAATATGGGAACGAAAACATGCAATAAATGTGACAAATGACATTAAATGTAATAAAAAGGAATTTGTCACCCAAATGTTGAATGAGTTGGAGGATTCCTTCTTCTGACTATAGCGTGTGATAACAAACTATAAAAATGAATAAAGTGTTCTTGGATCTTATGAATAAAAGTGAAATGTTTAGCAATAAAATCAAACAGAGGAGACAAGACAAGCTTTTTATATGTTCTTGATAGTCAACCTTTTACAAGATGTTCTTTTCTGAAAAGTCCAGAAGCCCCCTTTTTGTTCCCTTTCTTTTTCTATTTATAAGGGGTATTCTTAGAAAACCCTAAAAAAGTACAATTGGGGGAATATTCAATGGAATATTCCTATTCATAATCCTAAGAATACTCTATCCGTGGCTGCTATTTGTTCTCTATTCGAACTTGGCACTGGTCTCTCTCTCTGGGCGACTCCTCGCCACTGGGTCGTGCTTGGCTTCGACCTCGGCCTCAACTCGTTTGTTTGCATTCACTAAACTTGACCTAATTTTGACCTATACACAACCCATAAATAAATAAAAAAAGAATTGTGTATAGAGAGGAAGTCACATTAACAATTCTGTTTCAAATGGTTTGAGCTTGGAAGCAACATGCTATCTATCGATAGGCGAGAACTGACTACTATTGACTGCTTCGCTTATCATTTCTATTATGGCCGGCTTGGAGACATCATAGGAAGACCATCATCTCTATCCGGGTACGATAAGTTGTTCTACATTATTTATCAAAATAATATAGAAAATTCTTATAAATTATATCATTGAGTCGTTCTAATCTTTGAAACAAGTCGTTACTCTGAATACAAGCTTATAATCTTGAAACATACGTTACAACGAAGCCATAGAGTCGCACTTGTTACAAACTCTAATTGAATTGAGAATATTACAAACTCTCCCTAATATAAGTAGTACTCTCCCAAAATCGACAAAATTAGGAATAACAATAATATTATTTAGTGAAGAAAAAAATGTTTATTAAAGAATATGGTTTGCTACAATTTGCCGTTTATTTCTTTATTATCTCAACTATATTTGAGCAAAATCCGGTGAAAATGGTGATACACCAAAAATCGTATAAAGGCCTTATTCAATCTTCAATAATAGGATCAAATGCCACATCTCCATCTCCATGGCCTTCACCAGCTCCGCCACCAAAACCACCCCCGCCGTTTTCACCGTCGCCTCCTCCACCACCGCCGCCACCACCACCACCACCTCCATTGCTACCTGATCCACCCCAACCACCTCCTACTCCCCCACCAAATCCACCATTCTCACCTCCTCCTCCGCCACCGCCGCCGCCACCGCCACCACCTCCAATGCTACCTGATCCACCCCAACCACCTCCTACTCCCCCACCAAATCCACCATTCTCACCTCCTCCTCCGCCACCGCCACCGCCACCGCCACCACTGCCTGATCCAGTAAAATAGCCAGCTCCACCTCCTATTCCCCATCCACCATCTGAACCTCCTCCTCCACCGCCGCCGCCGGCAACATTTCCGATAATTTGGTCAATTCCGTCAAAGCCGGGGATGCTTCCAGATGGAAATTGCAGAAGCTTCCTAGCAAATGCTGTTTGCACAAAAACACACACAACAAACAACAGAACCAATCTGCTACACATCTTTGCACTTGCTGTTAACACTACACCATAAAGTAGCACAGCTTAATTAGTATAAAAAATATTAACTGTCTAAACACTATTATTACCACAAAAAATAGGAAGACAAATGTAATTATGTTGCATATTTAGCAGTAATATAATCAACATTAACAACAAATTAAGATGAGAATGGCTACTTACTTACTTTGGCTCTTCTCGTATGTGTTTTGCACTGAAATTACCTCAGAGAAGAGCTAAGCAATTGGATGAATAATTTGAGATGCTTAGGACGAGTTTAAATAATATTAGTAGTGGTGAAGTAACAGTATATGGTTGGGGATTGTTAATGAATGTAATTAATATCTCACATTTACAAAGCGGAAATGCTATAACCATAGAATTAAATGTGATTAAGAAGACTTACGTTATGGTAATTAATTGTGAGAGAAAAAACTTACATGTTCTCTTTAGGGTTGTTTGGTTTGTGGTCTAGTTATGTGAAGATTATAATGCAAATTACTAATGTTTTTGTGGTGAATAATTACTAAGATTATAATGCAAATTACTATGCGATAAATAAGAATACATGATTTTTTATGTACAGATAGCCTAATGTAAAGATTTTTTTTTTCTTAAGATAGTCTTATCTCGTTAAGTTATATGTTATATCGGAATAGTAATATATCATTTGGTTTTTGGTATTACACTTCACATGACTTATGTGGTATTTAATATTAGAAACAATACGTTTTACTATTAGTTGGGAAATTCCCTGGGAAACTCTCAACCGCTATCCTTCGGGTGCGCATTGGGTAATCTATTCATTATGCAATAGCTCACAATTCACACAGGATATGTAAACTCACTAGATAAGCCGGTGCGGTTAGGGGTGTGTATTCGAATCGATTTATCGATAAATCGAATCGATTATTTGTTATCGAAATCGAAATCGAAAAAATCGAAACCTTATTGAAATGATAACGATAAGCATATGTACAAATCGATAATCGATAAGTAATTATCGATAAGGGTCAAAATCGAATCGATAAATCGAATGCACAATGCACATCCCTAGACTGTAGACACTTGTTAAATGAGTAATTACCTATTTGTGTAGATTAATATAACATACAGAATGTATATATATTCCGCTACTATTTTGAAAGCGGCTATACAATATTATTTTTCCTAATCTATACCCTTTCCTTTACCCTAAGTCCCTTACCTTATTATTTTCTCTACCACATTTAAGGAATGATCATATTTAAAGATCAAGGGAATGAAGTTCAAATTAATGAAAAACTGAATTAGCCGTGATGATGTGTTTTGTTTTGTTTGGTTTTTTTTATACCGTTGGAGTGTTGGTGACATACATTTGATCCCTTACTTTAGTTTTGTTGCATGTGCTTGTTGACACAATTTTTATATTATAAATGGTGTTCGTCTTATTTTAGCTTCTTTTTGTCCATATTAGTTAGGCGCGTTTATAGCGATATACTTTCCGTGGAATCCCGCAAATTTTCTTATTGGTGTAATCGATAACCGAATCGATAAGCCCCCAAAATCGAAAAAATCGAAATCGAAAAAATCGAAACCTTATTGAAACGATAACGATAAGCATATGTACAAATCGATAATCGATAAGCAATTATCGATAAGGGTCAAAATCGAATCGATAAATCGAATGCACACCCCTAGGTGCGACTAGCTCTAACTAAGAAGGCAACAGTGAGGGGAATCGATCCCAGATCATTGTACTATTAGTTATATGGTGATATGAAGGGAAAACTACACGACACGTCAAACATATACATTGTATTTATCATTCGTAGCTATACTTTCAGCGAATTTATAATTCGTAGCTATATTTGAATTTTATAGCAAATCCATGAAATAAGAGATTAATTGTTTTGAATTGAAACAAGAGAGCGACGAGCTCTCGTAGCTCAATTGGTTAGAGCGCCTATTAGTTAGCGGAGGTCCTGTGTTTGACCCTCAACAAGAGCATTATATTATTCTGTATTTCTGTATTTCGCCTTGGTTGTATTTGTATGAATACAATCAATACAGGTTGTAACTGTAGGGAATTTTATGTGAAGATCAATTTTTTTTTATACTTCAAACGAGACGTCACCTTAACATATTCTAGATTTTATAGTAAAAATCGCATGGGCTAGCCAGTTTTCGGACTGGTCATTCAAAAATAGTCATCGTTTGCAAAGTCATTGAAACATAGCCACTATTTTGCTACAACACGGAAAGTTCTAGCAAAATATACTAGAGATCGGTGCACCTGTGTATGAACTTCCAGCATATTATGCTGTAACTCCAACACGCGAAAAGTTCCAGTATATTATGCTGGACCGGTATATTATACAGGAACTCCAATATAATATACTGGAGTATTTTTCCGGATTTTGAATAGTGTTTTCGTTCAGATTTATCTTTACATGAAAAGTGGGTAAATTTCGATTACTTTTGGAACTGTGGCTATTTATGAATGACCACCTGTAAATCTGGCTATTTTTGAATTTCTCCCGATTTTGTAGGATTAATTGATGATTCAAAAATTTGAAAATCTAGAACTACTTGGCATAAGGTGGATGTCAATTTAAGAGGGTTTTTTCTTTTCAGGATATCAGTTTTTTCCCAAGATATCGATATTAGAGTTAGTTGAACAGAAATGTACCAAAAGTAACATCCACAATAAGTTCATCAGTTGGGGAAAACTGAGCGTACTTTAATTGCAAATTCCTAAATATAAAGTTGAAGAGAAGGAAAATAGTTTCCAAGTTATCAGAAATCTCATCTAAATAAGCAAATGTGTATTACTACATCATTCAATTTACACCAAAGTAATGGAGTGGCAAATTTTTCAATAAGAATAGTGCACGTTGAGATTTACATAACTGTATCTCTTTGCTTCATTTTAGTATATATTCATCAGAACTAATTTAGGACAAAAGCAGACTACAAAACTATGTATAGTAAAATGCTTGGACAGAGGAAGAAGTTCTCCAAAGAAGAACCAACAAGAAAAAAAAGGCGAAAAGAACGAAAAGAAAGAGTGGAAAATATACGAAGACAAGTGGTTTTCCTACCCCCTGTCCACTTGAAATTATACATACACAAGTACATATCAGTATATCAAGGTTCCAGCTTCAGCGAAACCACTCTAGACTGCCTGTTACGCTTCGCCACCTTCGTGAAGACTATAGAGAGACATGATGGGGCCCACCATGGTCGTCGGACTCTTTGCTCCCCCTTCAAGCAAGCCACTGCAGGAATGAATTGAATCAATAAAGACATACGAAACATAATAGCAAATGTAGGTTGAAATAAAACAGCATTGGTCATCCTTTAAAGCAACGGAAGATTCTCTGATGTTTATCAATGGTTAGTATAGACAACACTTGATATAGTGATCAAAACCGGATCACAAAGCTGAGTCTGCAACATCCTCAGTGTCTATGTATTAAGTCAATCATGCTTGTCATCCTTATGATTAATTGATTATTTAAGTGAACTGCTAGATCGAACTATTCAAAGGCATTGACGACCATACCATTATCATATCATATTCGTGACTAAGAGATCTCTCTTTAGTACTAAATTTTTTTGTCTTTTTTTCCCTTTCCAATACGAGCTAAGAGATCTCAAACTTCACACTAAGCGAAAAGATTTTTAACAAAACAAAGAAATTGCCAAGTCTTTCATCAGTCAAAGCTGATTTAGCACAAAGGATGTAATGAACAACCTTAACTGCATTGTTGGCCAAACAGAAGAGGCCGCGGAAAAGCACTGGACAAACTTTGCATCAATAAACTGGGAAGAGTATAGATAAAATTGTTTAGAGTTGGAACGGAGAGGGGAATAAATGCACCTTTTATCCTCCTGAGCTCCTTGCACAGTGTTATGAAGTCTCCCCATTTCATGTGACACCTTCTTATAAACCGTAGTATCTGTTCAGTCGTGAACATGGACATACCCTCCAAGTACTCCCCATTAACACCATTCTCTTTGAAAATCTGACGATAGCCACCTAGATTTATTTCTTCCAACCATAAGCCAACATCCTGCCATCAAAAGTAGCAGCATAAATCAGGCATTGCACGAGATACATTCTCTTTTCATGTTGTTTATTCGTTGAACAAGATACATCTCCTTTCTATGTGGTTCATTGCCACCCCTCAACCATTGAAAAGAGCTGGGGGAAACAACTCCACTAATACCTAGGGCGCAAGACAACTTTCCCAACTGTCTGCTTTATTTTACTACTTATTTTTATTTTTATTTCTTTTTTTTGGGGAGGGGGGGGGGGGGTTGGTGTTCGGCCAGGGGGCAAGGAAGATATTTTTCAAATGGATATGTGTGAACCATAGCCCCAGGAGAACAATTGTGAGGTAAATATCTGGATCCATTTCGATGAAGTACTGAATAGCAAACTAAAATGTCATACATGGCAAGAGGACAACAGAAAGCTTGCAAATCTTGTAATAAGATGAACACACTCTTTTCAATGTAACAATTACATAAGCTCAAAGCATACTCGGTGTAGCATCTGTTCAAAAAGATTTGGAAAAACAAGAGAAGAGGGTATCTCCTAAAATAGCCAGTCTTCAATTCTTAAGTAGAAAGTAAGTCAGCCACTTCAAGGAATCGATGCTAGCCCTACACACATGCATCCTCTTCAAAGAATGATGAATTACGATAGATCTCTTTAGATACTCGTTGATGCTTCCCTGATCAAATGAGTAATGATGAACTCCGACGAATCTATCCAGGTTTTTATCATGCTAGAATTTGATCATAAGCTTTCATGTCACTACTTAAAAGGTAAATAAGGACATCTGCATTGACATTTACCTGCAAGGTATATGTGAGCGACTTTATACCTGGAGGTCAAGATAAGCTTGCAACCTTGGCAATCATGATATCCATTACATAACCCTCCTTCACGAATGAGAAGCTCCTATCCACCTCTTTAGGCTTCCACATGCTAGAATTTAAAAACACGACTTCATGTCACTGCTTAAAACTGTTAAAGTCGAGGTAAATAACGATGTCTGCCTCACCCTTTTATTTGGAAGGTAACAAGAGCAACTTACCTGTATTTCAACAAGCTTGCAGCTTTGGAAAAAATGATATACATTACACATCCCTTTGGAAGAATGACGAACTTCTAACCACACCTCTATAGGCTAAGCTTGAATCTGATTGTATGACCTCCATGCCACTACCTGAGAGGTAAGG